CCCTCATGAGTGACCTCGAGCAAATCCCACATTTGTTTTGCAGTCTTGCATCCTAGAACCCGATTGTGTTCGGCAGGACCAAGACCACAAATTAAATATTTAAGGGCTTGGGCATTATGCTCGAGTTTCTCATAATCTTCAGAAGTATATTCAACTTTCGGTTTAGGAACAACATTACCTTCGGCGTTTCTCTTTGTGATGACATTATCACCACTTTCAATTACATTCCAAACCTGGTAGTTATCGGCCTTGATAAAGTTTTCCATCCGACTCTTCCAAAATTGATAGTATTTGCCATTGAACAATGGTGGTCGTTGAGTCGAGTACCCTTCTTCCAATCGGTCAACCGTATTCATTTTGCCGGATCTCTTCCCAAGGTATTAGCCTCTATGTGGTGAAGACCGGCTCTGATACCAATTGATGAAAACGGTTAGCAACACAAGAGGGGGGGTGAATTGTGTGTGTGTGGAACCGTGGCAGTTTTTCGCCGAGTTCTAGTGTGGGATAAAGGGAATTGCAAAACAGTAAAGTGCACAAGAATTTAACGAGGAAAAATCCCTTGGCTCAAAGGGATTAAAAAACCTCGACCTCCCTCGGAGGAATTTTAAACAACTTCACTAAACAAGCCTTTGAAAGAGTTACAAGAGTGATTCTCCTAATCTACCCTTGAGCCTCCCCAACTCTATCCTCTCTAGGAAGAGTTATGCATCTCTACCTTGCGGGTAGAGAGCCTCTCAGCTTTGTCACAAAGCTCTCACACACACTTAACCCGAGGCAGCTACTCTAGCCAATTAAGCCTCAATAATCCAAGTACAATATGAAAGGGAAAAGAGAAACTCTATCTAGAACTCCGAGCGGGCAGTTTCAGGCGCCAAGGACTTGATCCTTTTCTTGAATGATTCTTCTAAGTATTTTTCTCGGTTCAGCACTACTCCATTTCCCTTTTGCTGCTTCGATTATATAGACCCTTTGTACCAGACCGTTGAAGCAACCTTCTTTTAATAATGATTCTTGCCTTGATAGCTTTTGAAAATCTTTCCATCTTGAATTTGAGTCAACGATCTCATATGGAAAATCAAAGATGATTTGCTCAAGAATAATTAACATAGTGGAGCAAGGGAATAATTTAATCTACCTAAAAGCATGCAACGGTCCATGCCAACAAACACTTAAAATATCTCAATAAAATATCTTAATTAAAGATATCTTTATGGTAAGAAAATATTTACTTTATCAAGTAGGAATCACATGGTCAACTTCCATAAAGCAAATCATTTATCTCATAAAGGTTAAGTCCAATCAATACGGATACTTAGCAATAAAGTAAAAATATTTATTTAATATTTAAAGTAAGACAATCCCTTTCTTTAGCACATTCAAAAGCTTCGGTTCACCATAATAAAGTTAGCAAGAAGGCTTTCCATAACCTATACATATCAATGCATTTAACATAATATCAAACCAAATATGGAAATATATTAACACACGTAAGATATCACAAACGGCAAGGCATGCTCATGCAGACACATATCTAATTATAATTAAAGAACAGTTCTGTCAAGTTCTATCTTTTGTTTCTGAAGGAACTGTGAGCGGTTCTGTCCGCCGTTCCACCTACATGGTTAGTCATCAACAAAACCACATATTCAACAAGGTAAGACAATTTTAGTGAGATGGAGAGAGTACGAATTTGATGTAATTGAAATACGTAGTAGTTTTTAAAGAATTTTTATCAAATTCAGTACGAAGTATATAAGCAAGATTAGCGTGACTTGAACTTCTGATCTGAACAATAATCGCTATAATTAATAGTGTTACTAAAGAAAATACAAGTTTTCCAAAAAAAATAAAAAATTCAAGAAATAGGAGTAATATTTAATACTGGAATATAAAATTTCAGAATAGGAATGTCATGCTTTTATTAACATTTTGAAGTTTTATTGCCACATTTTGTGCATTGACATTTTATTATTACTAGTACAATTATTAAAATTTCAGATTGTTCCCCTATGCGGGACAATTTCTTCTATTGTTATTAATATTAATTATGTAATTTTGAATAGTTAAATGAAATGAACTAATGTATTTATAACTTATATTAATACGAAGTATATAATAAATCTAATTCTAGTTTCACTTCTTTTTCAGATTTAATCATTTTATTGAAGATATATTTGGTAAACGATCCTTAAATTGCCATAGCATCATGTATTGAGCTGTCCCACACCGTTGCGTATAAAAATACAAACTAACATATAAATCTTTGGGCTACTCGTGCTAACAGTTTGACATTTTAGGATAGAACCTCAAGTCTTAATATGATATCAGAGCAAATTAAGCTCCAACGAGTAATTAGATCCTGGTAAGCTTCAACAACGAGCACACAGACTACAAGATTGGTCTGCTCCAACGAGCCACCATCTTGCGGGGACGTATTAAGCTATCCCACATCGATTGCGTATAGAAATACAAACCAACATATAAAGCATTGAGCTACTCCTCCTAACATGTTTGATCTTTTAGGATTGGAACTCCAAATCTTTATATCATGTACTCCCTATAATCTAGTAGACTGAAGAGATGTTTTTTTGCGTCGACTCTCCCTCCCCCAAAATACTTAGTGTGCATATATATGTATAACCTCATAGTTCTGGACTATATATATGAGATTACATTTCAATTCGCACAATACTAAGTCTAGCTTTTATATTTTTTTGAAGTGAAATGTTAACATCACGTAATCCTAACTACTGCTTGAAATTGTTGTGAGATTTTCCCCAAGTATAACACTATGATTGAAGTGAAATGACTCATATATGTATGGTATAGTATATACGGAGTATGTAATTATAATTAACTTGGTAAGTACATGTACATGTGTCCGTTAATTAGATGAAAATGGAATAATCACATAGTATGTACATGTGACACATACACGCGTAAATATATTGCTTTTAATTTTATACACCCGTACATAAGATACACATATCATGTGTCGTTATTCCAAACGGAAATGTTACTTTATCTTTTTAATTTTGTTTATTTCTAACAAGAAATGTAACTAATTTTGCTATTGCGCTTGGATTTAAACCATAGCTTTTATCAAAACTATGTAAGGATTTTATTTCAAACTTTAATTTTAGTTTTATTTCTATATACTAGTATATTTTAAATCTCTTTATACTTTTAATTAGCCTCCCTCATTGAATCGAGATTTTTGAAACCATTTTTGAAAACTATATTCAGACCTATTCAAATATAGGTGTAATTTATAATACATTTTTTTAAAAAAAAAATGTAAAATTATTTTCTTCATAGTGGATGAGTGTACCCAACCCGATTCCGGGAACTATTAGGTTTGGGCATGGAAGAAAAAGAATCCCCCAAAATTACATCTTTTGAGGCTAATTTAAGTCAGACTTTTGAGATATTTTTAATTTGATTGAAATTTTTGACCTGATATTGTATTGTCTAATTGATCTTGTTTGTTTCAATATCATAAATATGATATAGTATAATCGATGTATCTGAATTCATTTATTTAATTATATTAATGAGAAATACAAACACATACAAGGAGCTCAATTTCTTTTATACGGAGGAATTATTATTCTTGGAGTAATAATATTCCTAATCCGCATTATGAAATATTATTATTATAGTAGTAATTAATATACTAGTACTCCATAAGTAATTAATTTTCCAAGATAAGGCGTTGACCAATCCTATAAGAGCATCCACATTCATGATTTTAAAATAATCTGATTATTTGTGACTCTTACCTTTTAAAATTTGCCACATAAATGTTTTGGAAATAATCTCATCCCCTCCAAATTACCTTCAACCATCATCCCGAAATAATCTGATCTTTTGTGGGTCCTGTAGCAACTAATTAACTCTAATTTCATAGATAATCTCAAAATAATCTGGTTTCATATTTTGATCTCAGATTATTTTATCAATTAATTCTGTCCAATAATCTCTCTCACTCAACCATGCTCTCCCAAATAATCTGTCATGTCACTAGAATAATCACTTAATAATCTTATGGATGGTGATGCCGTAAGAAGCATAGGCGTCAATGCAAGCGTACGTACTCAACTTGAGCCGAACTCAGCTCCCTCGCTTCCCAGTTACTTAAGCACACATGCTTCGGCTTCGGCATGTTCAGTCCACATATATCCCTCGCCAGATCTTTCAGCCCCGGCCGGCTGAACCGCCACGGCCACTTCGCCTTCGCCAGCTCCCGGATATCCGCGCTCTTCGCGCACTCCAGCCCGTACTCCGGGGGTTTTACCGAAAGACGGGAAAGATGTGCTGCGGTTGCCAAAAAACGGGGGTTTTTCTAGGGTTTACCAAAAAACGTGAGTCGGAACTCTCAATTCCGACTAGGTGCTAGGGTTTCCGAAAAAAAGCTTCCCCCTCCAGTCGGATTCCCCAATTCCGACTGGAATATATATTTTTTTTTTTTTTGCGGTTTTTTTATTTTGAGTGGGGCACGTCCGTTTTAAGTATTTTTTTTTTTATTTTGAGTTTTAAAAACTAGTTTTAAACAGTTTTTTCTAGATTCTTTAGATATTTTTAAAAATGAAAACTTAGCACATTTATTTTTTGAGTAACAAAACATTTGATTGCTTTATATTGTTTTTTAATCCATCTGTATTGTGAATTTTGTTTTAATTGCAATTTTAGTAATTTGAAGTGTAATTTTGATTTAATTCATTCTTCAAATTAGGTACTACTACGATGGTGTTTTAAGTGCAATTTTAGTAATTTCAATGGAAGTGAACAAAACGAATGTACTTTTCAATGTAATTTATTAATGAATAGACAGTACATATAATATTAAATTTAATACTACAGCTAACGTTGTGCGCTCGGTCCTGCTCCGTCCCCACCGCCAGTGTTCCAAGGCCTGTTTGGGTCTCCATAGTAAAATGACGAACTCAAAAACGACTCAACAAAATCATCCGGTTGCGTAGAGAACTGATAAGAATCATAATACGGCGGTGGTTGATCAAATGTGACACCTTGATGCGTCGAGAAATTAGGGGGTGGTTGATCAAATGAGACACCATGTGTTGAGAATTGAGGGAGCGATGGTGAGTCCTCACCCCCACCTTCATGTTCATCTGCATCATCCTCTTCGTCACTTCCACCTTCATCTTCATCTTCATAATGGAATATGCCCCGGTGGAGCATCTGTTCATCACCTACGTCCAGGGCCATCTGCTGTAGTCGTTTGTGTAAGTCCTCATAACTCGCGCGATCGGCTATGAGCTGATACATCTCGTGAACACCTTGTTTCTACATAAAAAATTTTAACATGTAAACAATATGACACGATATATGTTAATAAATATGGTATGTATTCAAAAACTTACCACAATACCCCAATCGTGTGCTGTCGGGGTGTAGCCTGTCGTGGGCACATTGTGAGAAGGGTTCTGGACACGTGTCATACCATGCTTGTTGTACCATTTTCGGTACCTATTAGTTGCTTCGACGAACATAAGTTGACCATAATCAAGAAAATATATGTGATCTTGTATGTTCGCCCACATCGCCAAGGCACCGGTTACTATGTTGGAACAATTTCCGTGATTATCAGTACCTATCAAAGGAGCATCCGGAATATCTTGCCTTATATGGAACTGCCGAAGAAATCGATCGGGGTAATGCATTTCGGCCATATTGCAAAATATGAGCTTAACCCTAGCCGACCAAAGCGGAGCTTCATTAAGGATGAGAGGTGGAAGTGTCTCGAATGCGTAGGGAATGAAATCAAACTGTAAAAAGTTTAATTTACAATTTAAGAACTATAAAACAATGTGTATTGAAAATTAAATAGTGCAGTTGAAGTAAAAATTTCTAGTACTACCTGACTCTCACTCATGCGGTCTAGGTTATCCCGGTACAAGCGTATACAATGTCTCGGGGATCCCTTAAATGATTTGGGGACGATCCACCTACATTTGTTGTTTAGCGATATGAAGTTAAAAAATGTAACGTCATATAAAACATTGTAAGTTAAAGAGATATATATGGAATATTTGGGTGTATATACCACTTTAAATATGTGCAATTAAGTATGTGTCATATATTTGTATAAATTAAACAAATAGCCTAAATAAGTTATTTAAATGAATGAAAAAGAGACGGTTGCACAAGTGAGCTTATATTACGTCTTCTCACATTAGTTGCAAAAGTGCTATGCATTTAATAAAAATATAATATAGGTTATTAATTTGTCCTATCATATTTATTTAAGCTATATAATCATTTAACTCTAAAATTCCAATTTAACAATCTAAAGTAAAACATTTACAAATTACTAAATTAAATAGAACTATACATACCGGGAGTTTCCTGGTTCTGAAACGATTGGCGGTTGTTCCTCCGACTTGATGATGGGCCTTCCACTCCAGCAGTTCCGTGGAACGTCAAATTTTGTGGCGGGGTCGCTGAAGCTTCCACGTAAATGTGCAACTCCTCATACTCATTTGTGGCAATCCGGAAAAAATGACGCCATGTTCGCTCATCATGAATGGGCCATAATCTAGAAGCAACATATACCGAATTCTTATATTTCGGCAATTTTCCGTAAATTAATTTAATTTCGGAAAATCCGTCGCGTCTAACATGATTGAGAACATTTTCATGTATAGTAGTATAATCATCTCCTTCACTAATGAATAGTACAGCCCTAGGAGGTATGGAGTACTCTATTTCATCATCTTTTTGAGATGTAGAGCCATTCCAATGAACCATAAGAATAATATTACCCTCACTAGACATTTTTTATATATGGTATATATTATAAATATAATATGAGAGAAGAGTGGTAAACAAAAAAGTAATGAATATATTAAAGTGTTTTTGAGTGAATATGGTATGTGGGGATGGTATGTTGAAGAAAGAAAGAAGTGGGTATGAGGGAATGGTATGTTAAGAAAGAAAGAAGTGTTTTTGGAGTGAATATGGTATGTGGGGATGGTATGTTAAAGAAAGAAAGAAGTGGGTATGAGGGAATGGTATGTTAAGAAAGAAAGAAGTGTTTTTGGAGTGTGTTTGTAAATTTTGAGAAGAAATGAATGGTTTTTATAGAGTTAGGAGATACTCCCTCCGTCCCCTTTTAAAAGTCCCGGAAGAGGGTGACACGAATTTTAAGAAAAGTGGGTTTGTGTGGTTGATATTAATTGATAAAGTAGGAATAAAGTAAGAATGATTTTGAGCCACACAAACTTTACCAAATCAGGTATGAGACATTTAAATAGGAACATCTCAATATGGTAAAATGGGACATTTAATTGGGGACGGATGGAGTACCAATTAAAATAGCAGCTTTTTTTTTTAAAAAAAATACCCTAGTCGGATTCCCCAATTCCGACTAGGTAGTATTTTTTTTAAAAAAAAAATACCCTAGTCGGATTCCCCAATTCCGACTAGGTAGTTGGCATGGGATTTATCCGATTTATTAAAGGCTGCCAGTTTTTTTTTTAAAAAAAATACCCTAGTCGGATTCCCCAATTCCGACTAGGTAGTTGGCTTTATTAAAGGCTCTCCTGTCGGATTTCCCAATTCCGACAGGCTTGTGTGTCAGATTTTTGTAACCCTAATCTCCAGTCGGAATGCCCAATTCCGACTTACCGTATTTGGTAACCTAAAAGGAACTCCCGTTTTTTGGAATGTCAGAACGAATACTCCCGTGTTTTGGTAATTCTTTCCCGTACTCCTCCCTCAGCTTCCTCACGTCGTCGGCGACCTCAACTCCGACGAACACGAACGTGGAGTCCGACAGAAACCTCTTCAGCTCCTCCGGGATCTCGTCCATGTAGAAGAGCTGGAGGATGAGGCAGTCTTCGTCCACGCAGAGCTGCAAGGTGGCGGACTTGTTGCTCAGGTAGCGAACCGGGTGGGGCCGCCATTCGTTGTCCAGGCCGACGACGACGGTTGACTCGCCGGCGTGTTTGGACCGGATCTCGGTGACCCACTCGTTTGCGACGGCGGCTCTGTCCGTCACGGTGGTTTCGATTCTTTTTCCTCCGAACTGGACGTAGTACTTTGAATTGGAGGAGTTGTATGTGACGCCGGAAGAGGAGGAATTATCTGATCGAAATCTTATCATGGTGCATGCATATACGTACTCGTGTCATTTTGCATGAATATATACTCATGAGTTGATTGAATTGAGTTGAATGTCTTGTAACTTTAAGGTGGACCGTGGACGTTTGGATGACCGAGCCAATTAATTAGCCAAGTAAGTGTATAAATAAACACCAAAAGACGCAAGCTCAATAATCCCTTCCATCACATGTAAGAAATTCTAGTGAAATGGGTACATGATATTTTAACTATTACGGAGTATTATGTACTATTGTTGCAATTTGGCACATTAACTTTTAAAAGAATCAAAATAGTACCTTAATTACAAGTAAATGTTTCAACATGGAATTTTGTTCAAATTTCCAATAAAAAATCACACGTGCCATTTTACTATTGAAAAGATTTGAGTCCTGTTTGGTTTCCCAACCCATGTTTTGATCTTATTGAAGTCTTTTTCCCATACATTTAACAATTAACACTAGGCATACAAAATTCAATTTCCGAAGAGTCTTTCAAAGAATTCGATCTCTTACTCCGCCCTTAGTTTCAACTTTCTCCAAAAGCACATTTAAAATTTATCAGAATATATAATTTAAATCGATGTGAAGGCAATGAATATAATGGAGTGGTAACCGATGGAGTGGTAACCGTTCTTTCTTCACTTATATAGATACGGAGTAGTTAAAATCGTGTCGTTACCACTTAATTACAAGCTCGTCACAAGCCAAAATATTTTCACTCCATCGAATTTTTGAAGCCATTCGATCTAATCCGGCCAGTCATTATTCATTAGCCATGTCGACCGCCTCACTATGTACCACCTTCAACTCCACCAATGGGAAGTACAGTACTTCGTCCAATGTGCCCGCAAAACCATCGAAACCACGTACCGTAACAAAGAGAGGCGCCGCCGTGAGCGACTGGGACCGCGATATTCGCTCCAAACACGCCGGGAAGTCATCGGTTGTTGTCGGCCTGGACAGGGACTCATTGTGACAGTGGCGGACCCACTAAGGGTCCCACGGGGTCCCAGGGTCCTATGCATTTCCAAAAGTGTACCTATATGCTATCGTATATTATATATGAGTAGTCTTCATGCAGGCCGGCCCGACGGGATACTCCGTCCGGCCGAGGGCATTTCAGGCACTTCCCAGTGGAATTTTTTAATGAAATTTTTTTAGAATGTTATTCACGAAGTCTAGTTTATCCATATCAAATTTCAGCTAAGAATTCAATCGGGAAGGCACTCAAATAATTTCTTAAAGTTAACTGGGCAGTTCATATGTATGAACTGCCCAGTTAATACCCGTCAGGCCGACTGGGCATGAAAAGTCCTCTATTATATATTATCGTATATCTTTTACAAAATTAATGAATTCGTAGGTGAATATACATATATTCCCCTTGAATTCGAATATACTATGTATATTCAAGGGGAATATACATGTAGCTTCTACTTTCTCCATGGTTTCTAGGGTCCTTTATGTTTTCTGATATTTAAGAAAGTCTTAATTGAGTAGTTTTGTTGAATCTATTTGAGTTATTGTTTTTTGACTCAATTTGAGTTATTGTTTTGTTCACTCCATTTGAGTTGTTGTTTTTAAATAAATGTTTTAGAACTTAATATGACTTTATTGACGCTTTTAGCCAATAAATAAAATGTCCTCTAATTGCATGAAATTACGCTATACAATAATGAGATGTTTATTTTAAAGATTATATCTTTATTCTCCAAAAAAAAGCTTAGATCTGTTCCAAAATAGTTTTAAGCCTAAAAACTTCCATCTATCATTTGTTCAAAATTCTTTTTATTTTTACATATGCCATATTGGTGTCATATGAAAGATAATAAAAATACATAAATTCTGATATATTTTTCGAAAATTGAATTACATATGAAAAATTTATTTCAAAATTTAAAAAATAAAGAGTCTTTGTTGTTGGGGTCCCATGAATTCTAGTAGCTACTAAATTAACGTAATTCAATCCTAATCTAACTCAAGTCCTAGAATAGCGCACTAACTAATTAATACGGAGTATACTAAATTTGGATAGAGAATCTCAAATATTGTAGTACATGTTTGCTTAGACACATGGCAAAATCTTTCCATAATTGTATCTTTCAAATGTAATGCATGAATAGTTATGTACGTACGTCCTCTCTTTGGGGTTACGTTTCTATATGAAATCCAGTATAATTATGTGTTATGCTCTATCAATTTATCTTAAGAACATTTTAATTGTATTGTCCAACCAATTCAATAAGAATGTTGCTTGAATTATTTAAATTAAAATAATATAATGATTTGAATCAATTAATAAATGAATGATAGTATTGTACTTCATTTTGTAAATGGGCAATAATAACCCAGGAATGTACGGAGGAGACCAATGGCTCGGAAATGGCTCGGTTTTAAAGAGCTCCGTTAAGATAGTGGCGTAATGAAAAACGTATCTCAATTGGTACCTCAATTTGTACCACACCCTATTTTTGTGGCTCACAAAAACACCTCGTTAAAGTGCGGCAATTCACTTATTGAGGTGAACTTTTGTGAGCCACAAAAATAGGTTGGGGTACAAATTGGGGTACCAATTGGGATATCTATAGCAGGGTTGGTGGCCTAACAGTGGGTGTGAAAGATGTGCAGAATCACCCACTAGGCATGACAATGGGTCGCGACAGGGCGGGTACTGCAAGACCCGGATCCGCCCCGTGACTTGGCGGGGCGGGTCTTCCCCGCCCCATGACCTGCACGGGTCCAAACTTGTTGACCCATGACCCGCCCATTCGGGGCGGGTCCGCCACGCCCTGTCTTAACCTAATTTGCTAATATGTATTTTTATTTGTGAGAAGTTGTTACTCATTGAATATATATAAAGTTTATCTCTAAATAATAATTAAAAATTAATATATTAAATCAAATTCATGATACGCTAAAAATTTCAAAATTTAAGGAAAATTACTCAGACTTGAATAGTTAATCTATCTAATTATATTAATAATTGAATATATATATATATATATTAAATGTTATATATAAAGAAGACATTGATAATCCGTCGTTCATCTCATTCTAACATATAAGTAGTATATATTAATATATTATAAGATAAAAAAATTATGATTTATTGTATACACACATATGTATGTTGAAGTATATTTGTAGTATAATTTAAGAAAATATATGTATACTTATATATTGAGTGGGTAGCGGCTGGGCGGGGCGGCACGGGTCAACACTAATACCCGGACCCGCCCCATTGTATAGGCGGGGCGGGGCGGGGCGGACCCGCTCCAAATGTCTCGGGCCAGGGCGGATCAATGCGGGTGGGATTTTTTTGACATGCCTAGACCCACCCACACACTCTCCGATCCCTTATTGATAGCCAAGAAAATATGATAATAACCAACACATAACTAAAAGGAAAGGAAGTAATAATTAAACTAAAAATAATTTATAGAAATTACTTCAAATAGGACTAAAACTATGGCAAAAATTCAAAATAGGACTTGCTATGTTTTTTTTCAAAATAGGACCATAGTGGTCCTATTGGAAACATACTCATTTCTTCCTTCCATTCTTACCCCTCCTTTAAATATTAGTAAAAGATAGCTAAAAGTCATAATTAAATGTTTAATTCATAATAAATTCTAAAAAATTTCAATAATTCGTAGAAAAATAATAAAAAAATTAATAAATTTTTTATAAAATAAAAAATAAGAAAAAAAAAATTTTAATTTTTTTTTTTGAAAATTAATAAAGAAAATAGTAAAACTCCATAAAAAAAATTATAATATGGAAACCTTTCCCACCGCCTGTAGTACCTCCCTGAACCACCACCTCCGATCGGTGTAAAAAATGCCACTTTTTTTTTAAATTCCATAAAAATGGCATATTTCTCTATGAGAATGCCAACATTTTCATTCTGTCAACTTGAATCCTTTTGACTTTTGCCAAAAATATGGCATTCATAATTTTTTTGGCATTTTTTTACCCCGGTGACAGGAGGTGGTGGTACCGCCTCCCTGCACCACCACCTCCGACCGTTAAAAAAAATGTCATATTTCCTACAAACTTCCATTTTTTTTCAAAAAAAATGTCAACATTTTTTTTCTTCCATCTTAAATCATTCTGAATTATGCGAAAAATATGGAATTCATAATAAATTTGGCATTTTTTCCCCAAATGACTAGAGGTGGTGGTGCTGGGGCGGTATAGGCGGCGGTGACAAAAAAAAATATTTTTTTGATTTTTTTTTAATTTTTTTTAATTTTTTTTTATTTTTTTTTATTTTTTATTTTTTTTAAATTTTTTTTTAAACTTTATTATTATTCAAAATATTTTTATTAATTTTTTGGTATATTTTACGAATTTTCATTATTTTTTATTATTTTATTATAAATTAAAACATTCCAATAGGTATAAGGGTATATTTGTCCAAGACAAACATAATTAGTCCTATGGAAACATAGTTTATTTTTTGGTCCTATTTGGGCAAAGTGAATGACTTTTAGTCCTATTTTGATAATTAACTCAATAATTTATGCTAAGTCCTGCAAGGTGCTAGCAGTCTTCCACGTGCATTAATTCCCAGCTCTATCAGTCCATGCTTGTAGACGATTAACATAAGTACGTGCTATCGTCGTAAAACTTGAAATTCAGCATGCGTTCACGTGTGCTACGGCGTGGCGGCGGCATATCAGGCAGCCTAGTTATCACCTTATCTAAATTCGGGTTCCAAAACCACTGTGGTCAAATGCTCAATTGCTCATATACGGCAACGTACGTTTCCCCCAAATAGAAGTGGGGAAAACCGTCAAATAGGTCCTCGAACTTTTATAAAAAAATCAATTAAGTCCTTCTATAGAAAGTTCTGTCCGGCCATCGCGATTTGGGGCAGTTCCCGGTGGAATTTTTTGATAGAATTTTTTGAGCATCTTATTCACTAAGTCTAGTTTATTCATACCAAATTTCAGCTAAAAATTCAATCGGGAACACATTCAAATTAATTCTTGAAGATAACTGCGCATTTTTGCGTTCTCGAATTAATTTGAATGCGCTCCCGATTAAATTTTTAGCTGAAATTTGGTATGAGTAAACTAGACTTGATGAATAAGATGCTCAAAAAATTTCATCAAAAAATTCCATCGGGAACTGCCCCAAATCACGACGGCCGGACAGAACCTCCTATAGAAGGATTTAATTGACCTTTTTATAAAAGTTCGAGGACCTATTTGACAGTTTTCCCAATAGAAGTGCAATATAATACTACGTATGTATTAAGCTGGGGAGTACTATTTAATACGTAGTACGTAGTATATGGGAAAATCGGACTCTCAATAATATCGATATTGAAATATAATTTTCGTGTTTTCAAGTGTGTAATTGTAATATGACTTCTCAAAGTTAATAAAATTTTAAAATATTCAATCGGAATGGTCTTTTCTGATCAAATAATAAAATTATAAAAAAGTTAATTAGAATATCCAATATTTCCGAACAAAGACAAATAATAAAATTAAAAAAACAAAATGAGATAAACATGATTCCAAGAATAACATTCAGAACATATATATACGGACTACGGTGTACAAACATATTATCTCGTACCCTATGTTGCACGGATACGGATCCGTCAATACGCCGAAACGCGAATACGGATACAACAATACGGCATCTTCGAAATTTATATGATACCGGTATATATGGGGGAATATTTATAAATAATACGGAGTAATAATATAGGTTATATTTGCAAAATTATACTCCCTCCATCCCTTTTTATTTCGTCAAACACTATTTTTCAAATCAATATAATGTTAAACTTTGATCGATTATATACTTTTACACAGTAATAATGAAAATATGAAAATAATACGTAATATGAAAAAGTTCTTTCATTTGTTAAAAATATTATCAAAAAGTATATGTTAGTTAAAATAATATTTTAAATGTTATCATCTTTGATTGGAAAAATCAAAGATGGCCAAAATTAAAAGGGACGGAGCGAGGTAGTATAATTCAGAGGATCACAAATAAAATAATAAAAGTACCAAAAGTTAATAATCATAATAATATTTCAAAGATTAGACTAAAAATAAAACGGAAGTACTGATCTTTCAAATTAAATTCAAATAACATATGATTCACAATTTTCATTTAAATCAGTCTTTTAATAAGATCGATTCCAAGTCAAACTCATTAAGCGACAAATTGATAAATTCAAGCATTCTTATATTTTTCCCATACGCCCAAAAGGTAGATTCTATGGTACCCATAAGGTACCATACATTTGTTCACATGGACCAATAAAAATATAGCAGTTGAATAATTTAGATCTAAATTAAAAATAATAAAGTGATGTGGTCCAATCAAATGAATGATAAGTACAATACCCCATATATTTTAGAAAGGTACCGGAGTTGTCACCCGCCCAAAACCATCTCTACCAATTTCTCACATTTTATGCTTCTCACTCCCATATCAATTGCAATTGATTTAAAGATGAAGTGAATTGAAACTTATGAAGTGTATGAGAAAAGAAGAAGGTCGTGTTACTACTTTACTCGGTAAGAGATAAAGTTTAAGAATGAGGATTTATGAGCGAGGAGTTGTGGTCGGTCACCTAGGCGGCCAGTCTATTCTCTCTTCTATTTTTTTAAACTATTCATTACCTCTAATATTCATCCTTAAATAATGTGTGCAAATCTATTGTAGTGAACTTTTAAATACGGAAGAAGTATTTTAATGGTCAAAGTTGTGTATTATCACATGTGAAATAATTGATTGCTGCAACTAAAAAAGAATGGAGAAAATATTGTGTTGGGAAGAAAACTAAAAAGAATATAGATTGAGAAAAAGGTGAAGTTTAATTTAGTGATATCTATGATAATTTTCTCGGGAAAAAATCCTAAAGTAAGAGTAAAAATTTTCAAAATTTCAAAATAGAACTGTAATGTTTTTATTCTATAAGTAAGAATAATTAGTGTCAAATTTGAAAAATAATTTCATGTTCAAAGTCAGATACATCCAAAATATAGCATTAATTATTCATATCCTATAATAAAAATATAAAAGTGCTATTTTGAAATGGGTAGGACGGAGTAGTTCTTTTTTTGTGTTTTTTTTTTTTTTGCAAAAGGACGGAGTAGTTCTTAGTCAAGGCAATTTCCTCATACTTAAATGTGAAGGATCCTCATTCTTAAACGTGAAGGGATTGAGCTTGCGGCTTTTGGTATTCATAAAGTTACTTTGTTTGGTCATCCAAACGTCCGCGGTCCACTTAAAGTTACAAGATATTCAACTCATTAATTACTATATATTCATGCAAAATTATATGCATATAGATGTAGATAGATGCACAATAATGTATCGATTATCCCGTAATAATAACCCCTCCTCTTCCAACATCACATACAACCCCTCCAATTCAAAGTACTACGTCCAGTTCGGAGGCAAAAGAATCGAAACCACCGTGACGGACAGAGCAGCCGTCGCAAACGACTGGGTCACCGCGATCCGGTCCAAACACGCCGGCGAGCCAACCGTCGTCGTCGGCCTTGACAACGAATGGCGCCCCCACCCGGTCAGCTACATGAGCAACAAGTCCGCCACCTTGCAGCTCTGCGTGGACGAAGACTGCCTCATCCTCCAGCTCTTCCACATGGACGAGATCCCGGAGGAGCTGAAGAGGTTTCTGTCGGACCCCACGTTTGTGTTCGTCGGAGTTGAGGTCGCCGACGACGTGAGGAAGCTGAGGGAGGAGTACGGGCTGGAGTGCGCGAAGAGCGAGGATATCCGGGAGCTGGCGAAGGAGAAGTGGCCGGGGCGGTTCCGCCGGCCGGGGCTGAAGGATCTGGCGATGGAGATTTGTGGGCTGAACATGCCCAAGCCGAAGCACGTGTGCATGAGTAATTGGGAAGTGAGGGAGCTGAGTTTAGCTCAGGTTGAGTATGCTTGCATTGACGCCTATGCTTCTTACAAGATTGGTCAACGCCTTCTCTTGGAAAATTAATTACTTATAGGTTAAGGAGTATTATTACTCTATGAATTTACTCCCTATAAAAGAAAAGTGACAACTCCGGTACCCATTTAAAAAATTGGGTACCGTACCTACCATGCATTTGATTGGTTCAAATCATTATATCCTTTTAAATTTAAATTTAAATAATTCAACTGTATCATTCTGATTAGTCCATGTGGACAAATGTATGATACCTTAAGAGAACCATAGAATCTACCTAAAAGAAATTGACCTCCTTGTGTTTCTATTTCTGATTAATATACTTAAATAAATAAATTGAGTCTGCAAGGATGTTTTTTACTAGGACTCGTTTATGTCTGGGACCATACAAGATCAAATTAGATTACACTCAAACACTTAAATTGATAAAATAAGACTAGATTTCAACGCTTTTAAATTAAAGTACATCAAGATCAGACATCTATCATACAAAACTAGACCATATTAAAACAAAAAAGATCAGATTAGACTAAAGAAAATCAAATAAATAAATATCAGTCTAATTAAAAGCATCATAAAAGTCTGATCGCTTAATTAGTCTGAAATGTTGTGTTTGATCGAATGAGCTTCTTTTTCTTCTTGTGGCCATTGGCCATTGTGGGTATGTAGGACTGTCAATGGATCAGATCATGATGGGAACTTGCGGACCCTCTAATTTATTTAAGGTAGGAGATCCAACTTGTATATCAAGCGTAGTTAATCGCGCAGTTATCTTTATGAATTAATTTGAATGTGTTCCCGATTGAAGTTTTAGCTAAAATTTGGTATGAGTAAACTAGACTTGATGAATAAGATGCTCAAAAAATTTCATCAAAAAATTTCACCGGGAATCGACCTAAATTGCGACGGCCGGACAGATGCTCCTATATAAGGACTTATTTGACTTTTTTATGAAAGTTCGAGGACCTATTTGATAATTTTCCTTTCAAATTTCTAACGAATACAGGTACTTAACAGGTTAGAATAACATGAGTCATTTATAATATAAAAAAGAATGGGTCTGGCCTAATCCGGGTCCAAACAAATGAAAAAAATATGGACTCATACTCGTAACTATTTTAAAAAGTGGTTTGGGATTTAAACCTCCTACGTGCATTGACATGCTTAATTGTACGTAAGTTTGGTGATCATATTCATTATTCACTTGCTCAATTCACCCTTAATCTTTGACTTCATATGGCATATATCCAAGTTTTATGAAATTTGATCTTTTTTTTTTGAGTTTTTGCAAACTTTTTAATGTACTTTTTAAATATGTAAATTTTATTTGAAACATAATTTGAGTGTTGATACTTGACAGAGATCAATTAACTTTGTTGTCGGTCTAGCACTGTAAATCGTAATGAAACCATCAAAAATTGGGATATGGAGTAAACAAAGACAAAATGTGACTATTATTAATATAAGCAAAATTGACATTAAGGATATCTACTTTTAAACATTTAAGGAAAATGACCCCTTGCAGAAAATCTCACAACATTCAATGATGTAAACCACAAATTAAAAAAGCTAGATTATTTCACACTAAGATTTCCGTATATCAAATTTGTGTAAATTCACCACACGAACACATTTTTTTTAATAATATTATCCTCGCATGTAGGGGTGTGCACCGGTCCAAAACCAGACCGGACCGGACCAGAACCGGTTAGGACCGGAACCGGAATCATCATTTTCTTTGGACCGGAGACCAGACCTAAATCTAACCGGTCCGGACCGGTCCGGACCTGAATTTTCCGGTCCGGTCCGGTTTTAACCCTAATTGACCCGGTTTTAAAAAATAAATATTATCTTAGAGTGTTCTTAGTTGGCCCCAAATTTTTTTAGGAATAAGGCTTGGATGTTGTTCTAAATTATAATTTTATGTGCGGATATGCTAAATAGACTAAATAATTGTTTGTCTAGCTCATTTATTATTTTTGGAATATAGTTATCAAAACTATTCAATCGTAACAATTAGTTTCCCACAATAATTAAAACTACAATCTTTTGTGTATATTAAAATGCAAAATCTATTATAAAGTAATAAAAACTAAATTAAGTCCAAAAATATACTACGTATAAACTACATGTGCACCTGCAAATAAAGAAACAAATAAAAAGCAGAAAATTCACATAAATAAATAAATAAAAAACAACTTAGGAAATAATTAGACACCAAATACACTCCGTATATATTCGTTTATATAATAAAAGACAAAAATAAGTCATAAACATAATGACTAATGATACAAAACCAAGTATATATTTTAAGGGAAAATAAGTTACCGGTCCATTCCGGTCCGGACCTGTTTTTCCGGGTTTGACCCGGACCGGACCGGAACCCGGAATCTTACAAAACTAAGGACCGAAACTAATGCGAGTCGCATGTGGAACGAAGATAATATTCATTTACATAGAGCATATGCCATCTTGTACTGATTATAGTTGAAAACCTTTTTTAAATTCCCAGTAACACTTCTGTTTGGGTAGAAATGTCGTACTTCGTAGTACATGATCGAGCAATTGATGAGCACATATAGTGGTTTTGCAAACAGAAGATAAAGCATCACGTACACATAGAAATTTAAATTTTAATACTGAATTTCATAGAAGCTTAACCCATAGGGAGCACGACGTACATCATTATTTTTGCATTTATTTGATAGAAAAGCAAAGCAAATCATAAACAGATCAGAACGTCCCAATGACGGAAACTAACTGATCGATGATGAATTAATTTCCATGGAGGAGAAACTGCCCAACCCTAAACGAAGCATAAGCATCAATCGAAGCATACTGAACTTGAGCTGAGCTCAGCTCCGCCGCCGCCCAATCGCTCCGACGAACATCTTCCGGCTTTGCCACGTCAAATCCACATATTTCCTTGGCAAGACTCGTCAGCCCAACCCCCTGCCCGTTAAACTTCCCCGGAAACTTCGCCCTTGCCAGCTCAGCAATGTCCACACTCTTGCCGCACGTCAGCCCATACTCTTCCCTCAGCTTCCCGACATCGCTGGCAACCTCGACCCCCACGAAAGCAAAGGTCGAATCCGACATGAAACGCTTAAGCGCGTCGGGAATCTCGTCGGCGTGAAGGAGCTGAAAAATGAGACACTTTTCTTCGACGCATAGTTGGAGCGTGGCGGTCTTGTTGCTCACGTTGGGTGCAGTGTTGGGACGCCACTCCCTGTCCAGGCCGACAACCACCGACGACTTCCCGGCGTGTTTGGAGCGAATGTCACGGACCCAGTCGCTCACGGCGGCGCCTCTCTTTGTCACGGTGGTTTCGATGGTTTTGCCGGCGCATTGGACGTAGTGCTTTCCGTTGGTCGACATGTCTGATATGGAATGACTGAATTGGAATGGTTTCAAATTATTTCAATGGACTGAGTATTTTTTGCTGGTGAAGAGGTTGTAAATGGTAACGACACTATTTATAGGTGAAGAAAGAACGGCAACCAGTCTATTCATTGCCTTCTCGTCGATTTAAGTTATGCTGATTAATTTTAAATGTGCCTTTTCAATTCGAGAATGTTGAAGGCCGGATCGGAGGAACAAATTTTTATGAAAGACTCTTCGGAAATTGAATTTTTTATGCGGCCTTTGTGAACGGTATGTAAAACTAGGGAAAATTATTATTTGCCCCCCTCAGGTTATATCATAATTATGATTGCAATCTTGCATTTTCAAAAATCTGTTAGTTATCCCCTAAGTTTTGATCATTCTCACTGTATACCCCCTCACGTTAATATTTATTAAATTAAATGTAATATGCTTCTTAAATTCAATTAAAAAATGTCTATATAATTAATTTTTAAAATATAATACAATTTTTTTATCATAATTATAAGTCATTGTTGTTGATCGTTTGTTTTTCTGCTTACCTATTTGATCGTGGAGTAACTATTAATGAGAGTAGTTAAAGGGAAGACTCACACGTAATATTCATGACATACATATTCATGAGTATTTTTTATTAATTACTCTCAATAATATTTATTCCACGATGGAGTAGCTAAGTAGAAAAATAACGATCAACAACAATGACTAATAATAATGATAATAATTTGTGTTATAAATTAAGAATTAATTTTATAGACATTTTTCATTGAATTTAAGAATTATATTAAATTTAAATTTAACAAATATTAACGTGAGGGGGCAAAGAATGAGAATGATCCAAACTGAGGGGGTAACTAATTGATTTTTGAAAATACAGGGTTGCATTAATAATTATGGCATAACCTCATGGGGTTAAAATAAATTTCCCTTAATACTATCCTCCTGTCGCATTAGTTCGCATTAGTGGCAACATATTTTGACTATATTTTATACATTATTCATGTCCTCTACTTTGACTATATTTTATTTATTAAATAATGTGAATTAGTTTTTTGAAAAATATGGTTGAATTCCTCTCATTATTATGTTGCACCTAGAAAAGAACGGTATTTATCATCACGCCCTCGTACATATGTTGCATTCATTTAGTGATGATAAGGTGTTGGACTGTTGGTAAAAAATGAGTTATGTGCATTCCTATATGTCATCTTTTTTATTATAAGACGACGTACTTGTATGTTAAAAAGTTTTCTATATCTTATTTAAAAAAAAGTTAGGCTATCTTAACATTTAATTAGTGGGTGTCTAATACTAGTAATACTGTACACATAAATTAAATGTACCAAAAAACGTATAACTCTAGTCTCTAGACTTGCTATTTGCTAACGTCTCAATACAAGCTCGATCTTTATAGTTTCAGAAAACGACCCAAGTAACGTAGGCAAGTACCGATATTACAACGTTTTGAGTGTTCATTTTTGTGAAACTATTAGGGTCTGTTTGTAACAGCTTCTTCTTTTAAAAAAATGCTTTTTTTAATGAAATGAAGAGAAATGATTAAATAAAAGTTGATAGTGTTTGAGAAAAAAGTGATTTTGAAAAGTAAAAGTGGGTAGTGTTTGGTAAAATAAGTGCTTTTTATGTAATAGGAAAAGTAAAAGCATTTTTGACGCGGAAGCCGAGAAAAATAAAAGTTGTAGTGTTTGGGAAAATAAGTGCTTTTTTAAAGCCAAAAGCTGAGAAGTGCTTTTTTAAAAGTAGTTGCAAACCAACCCTTAATTAAATATTATTTTAATTTATTTAATCACACAAACTCTATTAGATTGGTGGTATTCGAATTTTAACAAAATTCTTATATTTATAAAGTTAGAAAAAGATATAACTTGGAGGCATAATACGTTTTCTATAAAAAAAAAACTAAAATTCAAATATATTTTATCCATTCTTTTTTAGTTATAATATTCT